CCCCAAAACCCCAAAACCCCAAAACCCCAAAACCCCACAATACAAGAAACCGGTTGAAATCGGATAAATTTTGGTAAGACCTTCAATGGGAAATTACTCCCTCACTTTGAGAATCTCGAACTGAACTCCTTCACTTTGGGAGATATGGTCTGGGAGAGGCAGAATCTGCACTTTAGAGTTAGAGATTGAACGAGGTGCTTGAGAACTCTCTACTCTGTTAAATTCATAAGGATCAAAACGAGGTGTCCTGATAACACTCCTATTGACACTGTTGGCTCTTCTAGCAAAGCTACAATAAAAGTTACATACATGTCAATCTATTAAAAAGTGACAAAGTTGAAAATCCAAAGAAAGTTTAAAACTACACTATAGCTCTTTAAAGTAGAAATCTGCATATTTTCTGGTCAAGGACAGATGTTCAATTAAAGTTCAATTCGGATTACCTTCTATCTTTTAACAGCTTCTTCTTCGGCTCTAAAATAACTATTAGATCCTGTTCGTGGACATTCAAAGGTGATCAACCTGACACTTACTCATAGGAGTCTTAAGTTTGCCAAAAGTCTCAAACCCGTTGAGGAAGGTCTTTATATTCACTCTTTTCAGCTTAGGCAACAGTCTAATATCAGGATTAGCGTCTATTATTTTAGTCCTTTCCGTCTTTTGAGGAGTAGGGGCTGCTACTTTCTTCTCTTTGTTAGTCAAAGTTCTTGGAGCTTTTCCTCTATCAGAACGAGGATCTAGAGTATGAGAGAATGTCCATACCAATATTGGTCCTCTTGATGCTCTTTAGGTACCTTAACTTGAGCTTCATTTCAATGACTCCTTCATCTTTTCTGAGATCTTGGGAAATGTCACGTTTATCAGAGACTTCCTTGTAGTCTAGAGAGGACACATTCATGCTCTGGCCTATCTTTTCACGTAAGTCTCTAGCTTTCTTCAGAATGTCTTCTTTGTAGATTTTTGGTAGTGACAGGAAGCTCAATGGCTGATTATATTTTTCTCGTAATATCTGAGGAGATTTACGCTGCTCTTGCTCTTTGGGTTTGAAGTGGTTGTAATGATTTTTCTGTGGAAATAAGGCTTTTATAGTTGAACCTTCTTTTGTTATATTGTCAATATCTTTCTTTTGTTTTGTCTTCGAAGTCGCCTAAAGTTTAATGATAGATTTTTATTCTTAAAATTAGTTCTAGCAATATTTTGGGGTATGAAGCAAATTTTGTGTAGATAGGTACAAAACTGAGTATTTTAGTCATATTTATGATGTGGATAAGTCTCATAAAATCTGTGCTAACTCCGCCTAATTTCAATGACGAATGCATATATTCGTTCGTCATAAAATCATCAGAACGAATTTCTCATTTTGAGAATTTTCTGAATTTGAGAAAATTTTAAGGAAGAAAATTACAGATGAGACAGGAATTTTAACAATCTGAAAAAATTACGAATGGTTTTGGGTTCGATCATACCAAATTTTTTCAATGTTATTATAATGATGAGTAAAGGTCTTGTGAGGCAAATTATTTATGGTTTCAAATGACCAATGATTAAAATATTAACTCCGTGCGCTGGAAAGTCGGCCAATTGGGAAAATAAGGTCAAGAAAATGCAATGGATACTCCAATGTAATCTTTGATCTTAACGCTACTCATTCATGACCTTAAAATTTCAGGCTTACCTTCTTAACCCTGCAAGGAGTAAGTCTTGAGCTGTTAAGGCTAGTCTTAAACATCTTAAAGTAATTTCTAGACCGCTTCTTGCCAGATCTAGTACTTTCAGCTGCTGTCTTTTTGTCTTCATCGGAAGAACTTTTTGATATTAGGTCTGAAGAAAATGATTAAAATGGCAAGTGTGTGTCGGTAAAAATTCACAGAGAATTTTTACATGCTCTAAGCCAGATCAAAAGGAGAAGTTGAGGCTTTGAAATTACGAAATTAGTACAAAAATTGAATAAATATTTAGTTGACAGATTATATTTCATGTCTGATAAGTTGCAGATAAAAAGTGATTGTTCTTAATAAGATCCACGTTTTGTCATAAAATTGATACAGTTATCAGGACTTCAAACCCAACTAAAAATAATCAAATTTTAACTTCCAAAAGACCATTGCTAATAAAATTCAAAACTAAAACCAACTCATCTTCCCAAACCTCTCTCAAATTCCTCCTAACTTTCTTCAAAGCCTTAATTTCCTTCCAAAATCCTAAAATCTAAAAATTCCAAATCCACCCCTAAAACCCTTCAAAATCTCTCTTTCTCACCTCCAGCCTTATTCATCTTCTGTATCTTATCCCTGAACCTCTCCAAAAACGCTGTATTACTGCTTTTTCCTTGACTCATAGTCTCTAAACTCCCTTTTAAATCAGTTATTTCAATAATTTAGCTTATTAAAGGGGTTTTGGGGTTTTGGGGTTTTGGGGTTTTGGGG